ACTGCAGGGTTCAGAGAAAGATACAGACAAGATACATTCATAGTATATAAACTTCATTTCCTGCCTAGTAATAAATATTATCAGGGCCCACTTACTTCAGTGAATCCCACTGATTCTACAAAACTTCTCCATTTCCTTAAATGTAAGAAAAGTTTTGAAGTAAGCACAGTTCACTGCCTTTCTAGAATCAGCACTTTATTTCAAGATTTACTCTAGTCTTTAAGACTTACGCAAACTAAATTTTCATCCTGGCAGCACTTTTTACTAGTGGGATTTTACATTCTTATATTTATTTAAATAAAACCTGTCACCCTCATCAAATTGAAGACAGGGATATTGTCCACTTCTTTTCAGTATTATAGCTTTAGAACTTATTCAATGCCTTATAAATAATTAGTGCTCAATAAATACTTAACAAATGAGTAAATTCTTGAATGAATCCGTGCATGAATGAATGAACAATGAGCTCAATCCAATAGTTCCCCACTTCAGAATCAATTTATATTATCTCCTCTAAAAATCAAACCAATACCCTAATTTGTTGATAAGGAAACAAGCTGGTAAGGATTTAGCAATGCCATTATTAGAGTCAAATGCATTTAAGGTGAAAAGGAAGGGAAAGAAGGAGAGAGACAAGATGAAAATCAGATACAAGAGAGGAGAGGAAGGGAGAGGAGAGGAGGTGGAGGAAGGAGGAGAATGAATGAATTCCTAGAGTTTACTTAATAGAAAGGAATAAATGAATACAGTAGAATATCAGGGACCAACTTCAGAGCTAATTGTTTAAACAACTGAACCCTAATTTTAATAGGCTTAGTTAACTACCTGCTTATAATAATGGGCCAAGATATCATGCACATTATTAATAGAACACCACATTTCATTTTCTATAGCAATGACTTGCTGTCTAAATAAATATGAATAAACCTCATTTTTTTGGTAAGGACAGGTTTTTATTTTTTAGTTTTAGAATAGCGGTCTTCTCATTTATCTGGTCTCTCCAAAGCCAATGGCTTTGCTAACACAAAGGAGTCATCAATGACCACTTCACCTCAGAGTCAACATGTCGCTCAGGGGCTGCAGCAGCTTGGGGATATCACTTTACCTCTTTGAGTCTGTATCTGCAGTTGTAAAGACAGAATATTAATATCTACCCTATAGACTTAAAGCTATAAATTCTTAAAGGAGACCAAGAGGTCATTATATAATAATAAAGGGGTCAAGTCATTGAGAAAATATAACAATCATAAATATTTATGCCCTCATACTGAAGCACCTAGACAGACAAAGCAAATGCTAACAGAACTTAAAGGAGAAATAAACAGCAACATAATAATAGTTGGAAATTTTAATACCCCACTTTCAATAATGGCTAAATCATCCAGACAGAGAATCGATAAGGAAACAGCCGACGTGAACAACACTACAGACCAGTGACAGTGATTTTCGAGCCTTTCACCTCATGGCACACATAAATGACTAAAATTCTGTAGCACACCAAAAATATATTTTTTGCTGATTTGACAAAAAGGGGGTGTAATTTGGAATCATTCACATCAGATGGCCATTATCATTTGTGTTGGCTGTTGTCATTTTTTTATTTGACAATCCGAGGGGAAAAAGTTCAGTGCCCCTGACTAAATAGATATTATTTTAAAAATTCTTGTGGCACACCAGTTGACAGTCACTGTTAGAGGCCAAATAGAACTAACAGATGTACACAGAACATTCTATCCAACTGCAACAGAATAAACCTTCTTCTCAACCACACATGGAACATTGTCTAGAATCATTCATATGTTAAGCCGCAGAAAGAAAGTCTCAAAAATTCAGACATAGAGACCAATGAAAGGGCATTAAGAGCTTGGAAATAAATCCTCACATATATGGTCAAATAATATTTGAGCAAAACAGAGGCAGACTCATCGATAGAGAGCAGGCTGGTAGCTCTGGGGGGAACTGGGGGTTCAGGGATTGAGCAGAAAAGTAAAAGGACTCATGGACATGGACAAGTGTGGTGACTACAAGGGGGGACAGTTGGTGGAGGTGGAAGAAGGTATAAGGGGGATAAATGATAATGGGAAAAATACAATAAAAATGATACCAATCAAAAAAATTTATATCTGGGGTAAAAAGAAAGACAAGAATACTCAGTGGAGAAAAGTTAGTCTTTTCAATAAATGGCGTTGGGAAGACTGACTATCCACATACAAAAGAATTAAATTAGAAACCTCTCCTAAACTATTCACAAAAATTTACTTGAGATGAATTAGAGACTTAAATGTAAACTGTGAAACTATTAAAGTCCTAGCAGCAAACATAGGGTAAAAGCTCTTTAACATTGGTCTTGGCAATTATATTTTTGGATGTTAACACCAAAAGCACAAGTAACAAAAGCAAAATAAATGAGCAGAACTACATCATACTAAAGTTTCCACACAGCAAAAGAAACTATCAACAGAATGAAAAGGCAACATAGGGAATGGGAGAAAATATTTGCAAAATAACATACCTGATAAGTGGTAAATATTCGAAATATATAATGAACTCATGCAAAAGCCAAATAATCCACTTTAAAAATAGAGAACCTGAGTAGACATTTTTCCAAAGATCTACAAATGGCCAGTAAGTACATGTGAAGGTGCTCAACATCACTGGTCATCAGGGAAATGCAAACAAAAACCAGGACAAAAATACCACCTCACACCTGTTAGAATGGCTGTTGTAAAAAAGACAAGCAATAAGAAATGCTGGCGAGGAGGTGGAGAGAAAGGAATCTTGAGCCATGTTGGTGGGAATATAAATTGGTACAGTTGCTATAAAAAATAGTGTGAAGGTTTCTCAAAAATTAAAAATAGAACTAGGATACGACCCAGCAGTCTTACTTCTGGGAACATATCTGAAGGAAATAAAATCACTCTGGAAGAGATAGCTGCACCCAAGGTCACTGAAGCACTACTTATGACAGTCCAGACACGGAGACCACCTGAGGGACTGGTGAGGCGTGACTGGCCGAAGAGGACACGGTATGCATACACAATGGGAAATTATTCTGCCGTAAAGAGAAGGAAATTCTGCCATTGGTGACAACGTGGACGGCATTGAGGGCATGATGCTAAGTGAAAGAAGTCAGGCAAAGCAAGTCTAATACTATATGTTGCTACGTATGTAGAACAAAAAACCAAAAACTGAACTCATAGAAACAGAGAGTAAATTGATGGTTGCCAAGCATGGGGGCTGGTGGAGATGGGTGAAGGAAGTTAGAGGGTTCAATAACGTCTGGCTATGTAATCTATAGCATGGTGATCATAGTTCATAATACCGCATTGCATATTTTAAGCTGCTAAGAGTTAATCTTAGAGGTCCCCTCGGACACGAGGTCACTACGTGATGTGTTAACTAACCTCACTGTTGTCATCACTTCACCACATTGCACACACTTACTATTGTATATCAATTATGTCTCAATAAACCTGGAAAAATCTATTCTACCTCATTTAACGGGGTAACCGTGAATTGAAAGATATATGTAAAAGCCCCTTTAGAAGATGTAAACTTTCTAAAAGTCTGAGGAATTATCACATTAACTTTTCGGTTACCTTAATTCCACAAAACCCTGGTGTTGCCTGGGTCCTTAGGCCTCAGTTCTCTAAAGGACAAAGGCCTGTTTACATGCCTGCGGGGGCCGTGGGGGGTCACATGACATGACAGTCATGCAGATGCTTTAATCAGGCACCGTTACAATGATTTAACCTTCTGGTCAAATTCTACCATGAAGAATTTCGTTACTGCAGAAACTCACGAGTGGTACACACACAGCCACAAACTTTTTTCAAAATGTCCTTACATCAACAATTTGAAACGACCAGATTTTGGACTGCGAAGAACATTATTCTGCATTCTAACCCATGTTATTAGTTATGAAAATGCAAAGTTAATCCCAAAGATATTTACATAAAATAATCATCAAATCCTATAGAGCAATTTTAATAAGTAGTTCTGCATGGCAAAGATCTAATGTGAAAATAATGATGATTTGGAAATACAAGTATGAAATCAGGTTCTTCAAAAATTGCATGTAAGTTTAATTATCCCTGGAAGCTATTTTTTGAAGTGGGCAAAAATACCCGCAATGTGTCATAAATGCTGTATTTCTGCTCAGAGCAGTGATTTAGAGTCACGCTGCTTGCCACAGCCAGAGCTCCTGACAAAGGCTGGGAGTATCTGCACGGCAGCCGGTGGCTCGTTATCTAGAATGCTAGATACAAAATTGTCAGCTTCCAATCTTTTGGTGGGATGAGGTATGAACATGGTGCAAAGCATTCACACAGGGAAGAGATGAAAAATTCTAGTCCACCTCAAATGGCCTCTCTGGGTGACCTCTGAAACAGAGATGAGTTGTGAAATCAACATTGTACCCAACATGGTAGGTGACTGAATCGTCAAGGATACAAACTATGGCCTAGAAATGCAACGATACTGCAAAACAGATCACTGCAGGAAAGAGGACAAATACACGTTTACCCCACTCTTGCTCATCAGATGGCCTTCAGCAAGAATACAAAATAAATTTCAACACTGAAAATAGTCCCAGGAAATAAAAAAATTCCAACAATCCACATTCTATGAAGGTTTCAGCCAACCCAGAGAAAGCCACACTTATTTGCAATTGAAAAGTGCTAATGCTTATGAAAGGCAACAATGATTAAGATACCTTCACCCACTGTCCCAAGCCTGGTGTAGCTGTTGGCACCAATTACGCATTTTAAATGGCTGGTGGAGACTCTTAGCATCTTCCTTTTTTTGCTAGATCACCTCCCCTCTTCACATCTCTCCTAGGGATTTAGGGATGAGACCAAGGATGGCAGCATCATGGAGGCAAGGTACCAGAGAGCCTCCCTCCGTCAAATTTAGTGCTAGCGGAACCTTTGTAGGACTCATCATGGTCTAGAGAACCTTAGAGCAAGGTCCAGTCGACCTGGATGCCCAGAAAAACTTACAGCTCTCGATTTCCAAGGTGCAGTTTTGTTCATCCAATGGGTACCGCCTTAGGTCCATCATGCAGGCAGCTGTGGTTGTGATTCTGGAAGAGAAATAACAGATATATGCTGTTAGCTGGTCCATGGCTAGAGTTGCAAAAATGAAATCCAAGTATCAAAGAGGACAGAACCGGGTCTCTGGGAGACTGATTTAGCTAACGCTCTAACGAAAAAGAGTGCAGCAAACTTTGGAAAATTATTTTAACCTTATGAGCCTTCTGCTGATTTATAAAAAAAAGAGGCTGGACCAAATCAGTATTTTCCCAACATGTAGTCCATTACCTACTTGTACCATTATCATCTTGGAGTATTTGGTAGACAGGCAGTTCCCATGTTCCGCTTGGAGTCGGGTGAGACAGATCCAGGGCTCTTATTTTATAAGCATTGCAGAGTATCAACATAGGTAATCCTCTTCTATTCACTTAGTGTCTCCCTTTTTCAAGACCCTAAAACCTAATCTTCAGCCAATTCTAGCTTTGATCCATCATTTTGACCTTTCTCTGCATAGTATAGTAGTCTGTAAGTACCTTAATACAATACAGTCAGCCTTTCATTTATCTCCTGAGTTGCTCTGTCCTGAGTAATCTGACAATTTTATGACCTCTTAGGGAGCTTTCTTCTATGGGCTGGTGAAGTTATTTATTTTAAAAAGTTGGTCCTTTTATAATTTTATCAGAGAGAAGTGAATACATGCCTTGAATGTCTATATATTTTTCCGTCATCACTTTTCATTAATCTCTCTGAAGAAGGAGCCAAAAACCATACCATGCTAAATGATTTACTATGTGTTTTCTGAACAATGAGGAAGCATAAAGTCATGGAAAAAAACCACAAGTTTTAGAGCACAAAAGACACAGGAGTCCTGGTCGGATAGCTCAGTTGTGTGGAGTGTCGTCTCAATAACGCCAAGGTTGCAGGTTCCATCTCTGGTCAGGGCACACACAGAAAGCAACCAATGAAAACACAGCGAAGTGGAACAGTAAGTCAATGTTTCTCTCTCTCTCAAGTCAATAAATAAAATTTTTGATAAAGAGGATACAATCAGACACATGTATGAATTCTAACTCTGCCTCACTGTGATTCCCATCAAGAATAAGAATTGATATCATAATTCACATAAAGAACATAAAAGAGTAAATGACATATAATAGGTCCTTTAAAAATCGGCATCTGCTGAAGACAACGAAGAACAGACGTTGATGTTGAGCTTCACCAACTTTGGCTGACTCCTCTCTGAGGGGCATGACACCATGTTTGGGAACAGAGAAGTAAGACGCAGGGGGAGAGAGTCCACAACTAGGCTTTTTCACCCACAGGCCTTGGACACAAGACAAGCAGACCACGTGCACTGAGTCTATGGAACTCCTCCGTTAGGAGTGATGCTCCAAGCCATCAATCAGCAGCAGGATGAAAATACCGTAGTGCCCCCTTATGTATGGTTTCACTTTTCTGTGGTTTAAGTTCCCCACATTCACCTGTGCTCTGAAAATTAAATGGATGATTCCAGAAATAAAGTACCTGTAAGTTTTAAATAGTGGGATTTTTCTCAGTGGAATGAGATCTTGCCACTGTCCCACTCCATCCTGCCTGGGACGTGAATCACCCTCCGTCTAGCGTGTTCACACTGCACACTCTCCCTGCCCATGACTCGCCTGGTAGCCACTTGGCTGTGAGACTGGCTGTCGAGGTACCATAGTGCTTGTGTTCAGGTCACCCTTACTCTACTTCATAATGGCCCCAAAGGACATAGACAGCGATGCTGGCAATTCTGAGGCACCAAAGAGAAGCCAAAAGTGCTTTCTTTAAGCAAAAAGGTGTATATTTACAAGATAAAAACAGTATATATAGGGCTTTGTACAGTCAGTGGTTTCAGCTTCCAACGGGAGTCTTGGAACATGTCCCCCACAGATAAGGGGGACCTACTGTGAGGGATTAACCTAATATGAGCAGTCTGTGCTGTTTTAGTTTGATTACTACCGCATTAACCTTTGTGCTCTGTTAATTTTCGTTTTCCTTTTTAGTAACAAGTGAGTATCCAAAGGCCAACATTCATCCTCGATTCCTTCTTTTCCTGCACTGAGACCTGCTGGCTACTCTGCCTCCCTCGGAGTCTACGGCCCTGTCACCTTGCCTCTGTCATCCTCAGGAGCTCGGTCCCAGCCTCTCCAATTGTCGCCCTACTATCCATATCCACACAGTAGTCTGAGCACTTTAAAAAATGTAGGTCGAATTTTATCACTCCTTTGCTTACAAAAGGTAGTGTCTCTTCCAATAAAGTCCAAAGTCATAGCTATGGCCTATGGTGCCCTAAATAATCTGATCCTTCCGACCCAACATTTTCTCATGCCAGGACCTCACGCACTGTCTCCCAGCCTCCGCATGTGTTCCTTCTGCCCAACACACGTCTCCCTCTGGTCCTCACGGCCACTCTTCTCACCCTTCCACTCCAACTCCCCTCTTTTGAGGGGCCCTTCCCCAGTGGCTCCCAAAAGTGGCTGCCAGGATTAACACTCTGTCTTGTCTATTTATTTCCTTCAAGCAATTATTGCAGTCTGAAAATATCTCCCTTATTTTTTAAAGTACTACTTCTCCTTATAAATCTTTTATTTGGAGGTTAATTTTATTGCATTACTTCTCTTCTTTTTAACATCAAATTATCATGAGTCAGGTTTTGGTGATTCTTTTTATGTTTTCAACAGTAAATAAATTTTAATCCATTTAATTAATATTACATAAATAGTACCAGAATTTATCTTATTATCAATCTGATTGCTTCTGCTTTCAGTGGGAACTTTCAAATTCTTAAATTCTACAAAAATTGACATTCACATTTCAATATGTTTTCAGGGTTAAAAAATGGCAAAATTTTTGGTTATATAACAGGTGACTTTCACAGTGGTTCACAGGTTTTTTTTTGACGTGTAGATACAACTTGAATTGACACTAACATATATGAACGTATATTATGCAGAGGAGAAATTTCCAAAGAAAATGAAATTAGGCCCATTATGGACATACTGAACACCCATGCTATTAACTTAAAATAGCACAAATAATTCCTGTCTTGAGAAACTGGAGAAAATGAACATCGTCTGATAGAATCGTCACGGTGGACATGGAAGGTACAAGGGTGCACATTCAATAAAAGAAGAGAGCCCTAAGCAGACACCTGGCTCCGTAAATGCAGTAAAGTTTGCAATCGCTACTCTCGACTGTGGTTCACACTTTCTGCTGATACATATTCATGGGAACTAACATCTGTGAACTAGTGTCATGAACAAGAAAAATAAATTGACTAATGATATCGTGGAAGCAATGAGCTTCTACTCATGTTTTAAAAATAAAGTAAAAGAGTGTTTTTCTCACATCAACAACATTCATACTTACACCAGTGTTTTACATTTTTAATGTAGTAATACATTTCATATAGCTAAAAAATACATAAATGTTTTCTAGTCAATGTTTATGATGCATTTCTCTCTCCTTTGGCTTAAAGCAGAAACTCTGTAGCCAAAATAATCCATTTGGAATCTTGATCATACACACTGGGATGAGTGACCTGGGATAAATAACTTATACTCTCCGACACTTGGTTACCCAGAAAAAATTGAATTAAATACTTGCTATCATAATTTGTGTGAAATGATGAATTTAGAAGAGGTCTATAATTCACAAAATGTTCTATAACTTTTATTATTACTATGTGCTAATGAGTAGACCCAGTGGTAACTCATGTGACCAGTGGTTCTTTGGTATTATCTGTATGTGCCTCCTGTACACATGAAGAAATGTAGAATAATCACAGGCTTATAAGCAAACCAAACCATAAAATATGATGCAAATAGCTTTCAAACACATAAATATGCAAAAATATGCCACCGTATGTGGGAGCTCAATTTAATAGATTTGAAGACAAAATATAGATATGTGCCTGTTTGTTATATGTTAACAAAATTGCATCTTTTCCAAGTATGTTGTGAGACTAGGAATCACAACTGTTTTTGTGTTGTTTGTATCTTAAATACTTTGCCAGGTGCCTGGCATGTGTCACTAACCCAAGATTAAAATAATAATCAATAATAATAACAACACAAAGAAAGTGAAGTCATGGTCATAAGCATCTTCAAATGGAGGGCTTTGAAAAAATTCTCTATATGAAGTACCTGATTTGTTTTTAAAAAATTCTCATATAAGTTTGAAAGTCTTTTATCATCTTTATACAAGAAAGTGCCTAGAATCTTATTCAGAAAATCCCAGTGAGGAACATAAAAATCCATTCTTTCAGACTTTCTGATTTATAACAGGGTTGAGCAGTAGGTTAAGTCAGAACAACGAAAATACTTAATGGGCTTTTCACGAACACCCGTTTCTGAATCCTGATAAACATGAACTCCAACTACTCAATGCCTCTGCCAGGAGTCTCTGAAGTGAGCCTAGGATGAAACTCATGGTGCAGGTATCCTCATCAAATTTTAAGACCACTGTGAAATACATGGAGATAGTTCTGTCTTCAACCAAAGGAAACACTCAATGATGTGTCCAGAGCGTACCTCGTTCACCTGTGGCAAACCCTCTGCAGTTAGGGATGGACATGTGTCTTCTCCAGTGCTGAGCCCTGCTGCATGATAAAAGCCACTGTTGCAAAACACCAATGTTCCGCCTGGACTAAAGAGATCTTTGAATCAACTCTTTATTCCATAGCCACTGGTCTGAAAATGATTTGCGCTATAAAATACTGACACAGTCACTTAAGGGCGTCTATCAAATCAAACATACAACTGCTATGCCAACATTTTGTACCAAAGCCATGGCATTATCTGAGATTTGATGCTGCTATCACATGATCCCACGTTGGAATGGGGCCAGAGATAGTTAATAAGTCCTGGTAGATGTCTTTGGCCCTCAGCCAATGGGAGAAAACTCAGTTTCATAATCAACATGATCCCTTTCAGGCCTTTCTACAGATTCCTTGGGAGAAGCTTCCGGAGCCAAACTACATGGTTCAACATGGGTCTTCCTGTGGGAGAAACTTGTTAAAGTTTCA